ATTTATTAATTACATTTATTAACTGTATATTAATTATATTATAATTTATATAATAATTATTAATTACATTATTAATTACATTACTGCCCAAATACGGAATTATCGTCAAGAAATAATAACGGGAAAATCGAGTTGGTATTAAATAAAGGTTAAATAAAGAAAGAAATTAAGGAAGGTGAAAAAGAAAGACAATTCCTTGTAGAAGGTATTCTTCAGTCTGCGTCGAATGTTAAATAAAAAGTTAAACGCTTAATTGGCCCCTGTAATTTCCAAACTTATCGCTCGCGTGCCCACACCGGTCGGCCGTTCAAAAGTCCATCGCCAACGAGGGTGAATAAATGATTCGATAAAGTTCACAATCCCGTTCGCTAGATTTCTCGTTTCTTTCGCCAGAGGGATCTTTCCGGAGTTTTTCGAAGAAACTGAATTAATCACGCGTGTCTTTGAGGGCACGGGAAAAATTCGCGCGAAAGTCGGGGGAGAGGACGTTACGACTCTCCTCTTTCCTTCTCCTCCTCTTCACACCGATTACGAGAACTCTGTAATTGAAAGGGCCGCGGCTGTAATTTCTAATTTTCGCGGGAAAACGTTTTCTCCGACGAACGGTGCGAGCGACCGTTTAAAACGGCTCAGAGTTTTATTGACTTTGGGATACAGCATACTGCATTGCAGGTGTTCGAACCTTCGTCGCGGTTTTTGTTCCAAGTGCTCGTCGCGGGAACGATCGGCGAAAAGAGAGAGGAAGAAGAAAAAAAAAAGAAAAAGAAATTCGATCGACGCCGCTGCCAGTTCATCGACGGTTTCTCCCAACTGCGTGAATTTCGTAGACTAGTCATCTCGAAAGGTGTTTTCGTAACGCGTCGTCGTCGTTATCGTCTTTGTGGCGAGCGATTTTACGACCGCGGCTCGTTAGAACTTGGTCGCGTCGTTATCGCGACGTTAACTTGGAAACGTTGAGCCAAAAAATGGGATAACAATCCCGAGGGGGGCTTTGGCTAATTCAACCGCCCCCCCTTCCCTCCCAATTTCGCGCGCGAAACGATTCACGAGCGGAGTGAGTCAAAGATAACGGTAAAATGTGGGCGCTGCGAAGCGTTGAGCTAGGTGAAAATCTGGTAAGAACAGTAGAGGGTGGTTCATTTAAGTGGGGCCCCTGAAATTACTACCATTACTACTATTGTATAGGATGAATAGAAAATGGTGTTCGTAACTTCTAGGGTAGATAGTACTCGTGTATTAAATTATAAACGATCCTTTGTTTCGTAATATCGTGTGTATGCTGCAAGAAAAAAAAAAGTGTAATTATATGAAAATAATATGAATGACCTTGAAAAGTCCTTGGCGGGAAAAAATATTTTTTGCACTTATTGGATACCGTTCATGTTGGGCAGATAAAATATGTTTTGCATTGTCACAATTCGAAAAGATATTTGGGTGGCCTCACTTAAGTGGACCAACCTGTATATGCTTATATTACATATACAGTATATATACAATATACAGTACATACAATATACAGTATATACAGTATATACAATATATGCAATATACAGTATATACAATATACAAAATATGCAATATACAGTATACACAATATACAATATATGCAATATACAGTATATACAATATACAATACATATAACATACAGTATATACATTATACAATATATGCAATATACAGTATATACAATATACAAAATATGCAATATACAGTATATGCAATATACAAAATATGCAATATACAGTATATACATTATACAATATATGCAATATACAAAATATGCAATATACAGTATATACAATATACAAAATATGCAATATACAATATATGCAATATACAGTATATACAATATACAATACATGCAACATACAGTATATACATTATACAATATATGCAATATACAATATATACAATATACAAAATATGCAATATACAGTATATACAATATACAATATATGCAATATACAGTATATACAATATACAATATACAAAATATGCAATATACAGTATACACAATATACAATATATGCAATATACAATATATACAATATACAATACATACAACATACATTATATGCATTATACAATATATGCAATATACAGTATATACAATATACAATATATGCAATATACAGTATATACAATATACAAAATATGCAATATACAGTATATACAATATACAACATATGCAATATACAATATATGCAAATATAATATAAATATACAACATATGCAACATACAATATAGATATAATCAAATGTTAATTCTTACTGAAACATCCTGTATAAGTATCTTTATCTATATTATACCATATTATAATTATATTTAAATATACGTACATATACAATAATTGTATTGTATGTATACATATATATATATATAATCTTCGCTGCTTTGCAGAAAAACCTTTATTCACATAAAGGCAGTTTGTTCTCTCTGTTTCCCCCAGGCAAATCCATCGCGAAAACGTCAGAGAACGTCCCAGAAAGTAAAAGAATTCAGGAGATCTGGCGGCGTAATTACGGGAAAGAAAGAGATAAGTGAGGGAAAGAAGCGTGAGCGAGGGGCAACGGATGTACACGCTGTTGAGGCGTGGACGTCGAAACGATATATGTACTTGGCACGCCAACCCCTTTTCCGCTACACGCCACGGGTACTTACGAGTCCCCTAATGACGTGGCCATGTTTTTTCAGCGAAGAGGGAGTAAGGCTGTTAAGCAGCGCACATGTGTACACATGCACGCACAAGAGGGAGAGAGCGAGGCAGCGGTTGTTTCTGGCAGAAACCGCTTGTCTCTCCGTTTGCACTTTGGCGTTTTCAGCGCGGAATGTCGCGCCAAGAGCCAGGAACCACCGGCATCGAACGGAATTCCCTGGCTTTTGTTCAACTCTGGCATACTGCCGTGATGATTCCATATACTATATACAAGTATATGTACGGGTACATGCACACGGTACATGTAGGCAAAATTTCCAAGCCGTTTCCTATTCTCCCTTCGGGGAGAAACAACGTTCCTCGCGTGGTTAGTCTGATCTCTTTCGATTTCGAGATCGGGTTGCTTCGCTTTTTCTCCTCTTTCCCAAAAGGAAAGAGCAAATCCCTTCAATCCTTCAAACAAAAATTTAACCTAGAACCTAACCGAAACCTTTAATCCAATCTAACCTAACCTAACCTAACTGAAAGGTCTAATCTAAAACCTAACCTCTAGTCTAAAGTTTCTTTTTTAAACAAACTTTAATCCTTCAAATAAAAATTTAACCTAGAACCTAACCAAAACTCTAATCCAATATAATTTAGCTGAAAGTCTAACCTAAAACCTAGCCTCTAGTATAAATTTTCTTCTTTAATCAAACTTCTCTTTTTTAAACAAATTTTAATCCTTCAAATAAAAATTTAACCTAGAACCTAACCAAAACTCTAGTACAATCTAACTTAGCTAAAAGTCTAACCTAAAACCTAATCTTTAGTCTAAATTTTCTTCTTTAATCAAATTTCTTTTTTAATCAAACTTTAATCCTTCAAATAAAAATTTAATCTAAAATAACCAAAACTCTAATCTAATCTAACCTAACCTGACTGAAAGTCTAACCTAAAACCTCATCTCTAGTCTAAATTTTCTTCTTTAATCAAACTTCTTTTTTTAAACAAACTTTAATCCTTCAAATAAAAATTTAATCTAGAACCTAACCAAAACTTTAATCCAATCTAACCTAAAACCTAACTTCTAATCTAAATTTTTAAGAGATTAACAGTTATACATATAGCTGGTCTTTTTCGAATTGCAATAGAATCAGAAAAATTTCTCATTACAAGAATTTCTTACAGTACAAGTATTCCACTATCGAATGGAAGGAATAAAAAAAAAAAGCTCGTTTTGATGGCTGAGATGTACTATGTATTTTTAATATGCGATTTCTCCAAAATGCGTCAATAGATGCCGTGGTGGAAGGATTAAAAAGATAACTCCGCCGTATGAAATCGCAATAAGGTCTAAATGAAACTCTGAATGCTATTCGTTTTCAGTTCGCTGTGGTATTTCATTTATTTCGTTCCTCTTCCCCGATAATTATTACGTGCAAATACAACCATACCAGCGGCATAAATAACCATATAAGAATACACGAAATATTTCTAAAAAGAAATATTTCTAAAAATAGGTAATCGTGTAAAAAATGTATGTTCCATTTTAAAATAATAATTAGCTACGTTAATTTAGATTCACTGACTTCTTTTAGCATGCTATTATATTTCAAAATATATATTTAATAAATAAAATAATAAAAAATGACTTGTCCATTGTATTATATATTTGTTGTTCGTGCATGTAAGAGAATATATGTACAGGGTGGCAAAAAGGTTTCTTAATCATTTAACACTGCGAACGCGTACGTCCTAACAGCGACTTTATGATTCTGAGACGCGTAGATGTCTATTTCACGTAATTTTCGTATTTCGCTAACGTTTAATTTATTTTATTATAGTTGCAGCGTCAGCGTGAATCTAAATAATCAAATGATAAGACTAACTGTCAAAATTATTCGAAATATAAACAACCACGCGTCCAAAACTATAAAGTCGCTGTTAGCGTTAACTTTATTGCATTAGGTTGCAACCTATGGTTCTTTGGAAAAGTTTTATCTTCACGATGAGTAGAATACAATGCAAAAAAAAAAAAAAAACATTTGAAACTTTTCTTTCAATCCTGTACTTATGTTTTTTATTTTAATTCTAACAGAAACTCTAACAGTAGCTCGTTAGGAAATAACAAGTGTACTCATTACAAAAATGGTAAAGGGTAAGAATGCACAGGTACTACACGTTAACGTAGTTAAAAAATAATAAGGAACGATCAGGAACAGAGTCACAAGTATAAAAGATTTCACGTAGTAGTACGATAAAAAAAAAAAAAATATATATATTGATAGTAAAAACATTGAATGCTTAAACCAAAGAACGTTTAAATCAAAGAATCCTTGGAAAAAGCTGTCGAAACTTGCCTGAACGCCACCCACGCCGACGATGAAGAGCAGTTGAACCATGAAGAGAGCTGCCAAGAGATTCATAAGGGTCGTGCCTGCAAGGCTTCTCAAGTCCGAGAACAGGCTGAAACAGAACGAAAACGGTTTTCGACTTTCGTCCCTCCTAGCCGCTAGAATATACTAACCTCGAAACGAAAGTCGCGCTGACAGCGACCATACGTTCCAAGGATAGTACTTTTACTGACGTTGCAAGGATGTAATTAAAAAAAAAAAAGAAAATTATATTCTATCAATTTCACGGAACTTCCGTTCGGTAACTTATTTTGACGTGAAGGTACTGCAGTGTTCTGCTCACTTTTGTCCTTGTTTTGTTGCTTGTACAGTGTGTTCAAAGATGGAAAGCACGTCTCGTCGTTCATTGTTAGAAATTGGACACAATATCGATCGTATGCGTAACAGTATATTAGGTTCTCTTCTTTCCGCGCAAAGTGTAACGAAATTTCACAAAAAAAAAAAAAGAATATTTTTCTTCCAGATGGCTCTCGCGTTCTTATTGAACACCCTGTATATCCCTCAGTCCCTCAGACTGGTACAAGACGTATTCCTAACAACGGTACCAGAAACACGTGGACAAGCGTGGTGTTTCTCGCACGTTTAAGTAAGCAGATTACAGAATTTGCATTCGAGCCTCGGGGACAGAGTGGCAAAGCGGAGAAGCGCAAGATAATGTTGCAACCGTAAATTCGCGACTACCAGCGTCAAAGGTGAGACCTCTCGCCTTGCCTGGCAGGGGAATTGTTACATTATACGTCGTCTAATTGTTGTATATTGTTGTATATTGTTGTACATTGTACGATGCACGCGCGGAAAGAAGAAAATTGGAATTTTGTTGTCGTCGGGGGAGGGGAGAAAATTTTCGGAGATTTCGCGCGCGAGGCATTGAAAACTTGAATCGGCTTGAGTCAAGAATTCGCCGGTCGTGAATAATTTATAAATCAAAGCTAGCCGAGGTTGGTCAAGGTGAAGTCTACCCTCTCTCTCTCTTTCCCTTTTTTCGTCTGGTTTAGTGGAAACTACTAAATCGCGGACGTGCCAGCATACACAGCCACCGTGTTCTCTCCGTGGAAAATATCATTACGAATTTCTTTTTCCCGCTGGAGACCGTGAAACAGAGACAGGCTGTTGAGACGAACGTACCGTACATGTGTGTGTGTAATAGGAACGTTGCAACACGCTATTCGTCATTTCGAAGGAAATCCTCGAGATTGCTTCCTCGACAACCACTGTGCGACTGCATGCATTCAGAGTTGGACAGTGATAACTTTGGTAATCAGTTACTAAATAGTAGTCGCATCATCGATCAATTAATGTGTCTGTACGTAGAAAATTAAATCGTCGATTTTGATTCATTTCTGTCAATAATTTTTAAATCGTTGGACGTATTCATTTATATTTCATCACGATCTGCACGGCTGAACGATAATCAATTACTTCGCAATCACTTCTACGATCAATTGCTAAATAGTAATTACTTGAATATTAATCGTGATCATTCATAAATTAATCACTGTTAAAACGAATCAGTGATCTTGATATACTTTTGTTATTTTGTAATTGTTGGTCAGTAATTTTTGAATTACCAGATGATTAATTTATGTTCTGTAATAGTAATGTCGTGTTATTTCTTTACATTGCCATAACACGTTCAAACACGTTAATCACGTAGGGTTGTACCGTTCGATATAATTAAATGTTATTGTTAAATCGCGTGCAATTTGAGTGGTAGATCCATTAGTAGATCAAAACTAGTGAAAATAGAATATTAATGGAAGAATGTTTAAATCGATTTATTAAAGTTTATCACTCTCTAATATATTTTTAACATGAGAATGAATTTTGATTATTCGGCAAGTTTATCGTTAAAACTTATCTTCATCATCAAGCCTTACGGAAGATTATGGCAATAACGACTCGAGAATTACAGGATGTTCCGTATCATGTGAAAAGTGAAGCACGGAGTGATTCTTCGTGAAAAATTAAGTCGAAAATGTAGAATAAAATTTCTTCGTCGAAAACTTCGTTTTCGAGAGAATCGAGTTTGAAAATTTATCAAGTACGCTGAAGTTTAACTAATTCCAGAGTTCACGGAAAAGAATGATCAACAGGAGATTATTCCGTTAATTATTAATGATTACTCTGTAATTTTTTCGCAAGATGCTTCGTTTTCGTGAAAACTAAGTTTGAGAATTTATTAAATATACGTGTATCGAGGCGAACGAAACTCTCGACGAAACATGTTCCAAATCTGTTCTAAAATGAAAAAATGTTATTTTACTTTTTCGAGTTATTTCTTCGTAAGGAATCGTCCTCTGTTCTATTTAGCACACGCTACAGAATATCCTGTATATAAATAAGACTCTCAACTGATGGAAAATTTTTCGAACGCATCCTGATAAAATTGTAGAATTGTGCACGTTCCAAAACAATGCAAATAACAAACACGTCGTTTCTACAAAATATACACAGTATATTTGCTGATAGAAGTAAACTACCGATACAATCGTAATCGAAAGTGTAATCATTTCACGATCAATGACGTTGATTGCTTCCTTCATTCATTAATCAGCAATTACTAACTGTTTGACTGATACTCTGATTCCACATTAATTATAATCGTTAATCGTTAATCAGATTACATTTAATCAGATTCAAAATTGTTGCGTTCCAAAATTGTAACGTTATACGGAAATAGGAATGGCCAAGATTTGAAAGACCAACGAGTGGAGTGCAACCAACTACACACACACGTGTACATGTATACTTACACTATATGCATCCGAGAGACGCGCGAAATTAAAACAGATGGAGTATTTCCGCTAAAATAGAAATTTCTCGCTCGTGAGATACGTCGACGGAGATTGTAGGAAATAAACAGTACGTACGATAGTAGATAGTGGTCCGTGCGTTTCGTATCGATTTCGCGGCGCGCACCAAAAAATGAAGTAGCTACGTAATGCCAGTGTGCTTTTAACATCTTGCCACGCACATCGAGAATTTTTTGTACCAAAATTGCAATATTTCCTCAGTTTTAAGTATATTCAAGTATAATCCAGGCAAAACAAATAATAAATTTATCACTTCTCAATAATTTCTATCCAGTAGTAGTGATATCATACCGACGAGATCAAAAAGAGAGCGACGAATTATTGTATACGGTTTAGTCACTCGTTATGGTCCGCAATCGGTTGCCAGCGCAAGTGGTTAACCTCTTGCCACGCACGTCGACAATTTTTTGTTCCAAAATTGTAATATTTTCTTAGTTTTAAGTATATTTAAGTATAATCCAGGCAAAACAATAATAAATTATAAATTTATTAATTATTGTCAATAATTTCTATCCAGCGATATCGACGAGTTCAAAAAGAAAGCGACAAATTATTGTGTACGGCTTGGTCACTCGTTATGGTCCGCAATCAGTTGCCAACGCAAGTGGTTAACCTTTTGCCACGTACGTCGAGAATTTTTTTGTCTCAAAATTGCAATATTTCCTCAGTTTTAAGTATATTTAAGTATAACCCAGGCAAAACAAATAATGAATTTATCACTTCTCAATAATTTCTATCCAGTAGTAGTGATATCATACCGACGAGATCAAAAAGAGAGCGACGAATTATTGTATACGGTTTAGTCACTCGTTATGGTCCGCAATCGGTTGCCAGCGCAAATGGTTAATGCGTTAAAGCAACACGGGGAAAGTTTCCCTCGTTGCTGGCGAACGGAAGAAAGGAAAAGTAATGGAATTGAATTCCGGGAGGGGGCGGAGAACGAGAGAGAGGGAGAGAAAGAGAGAAGGAAACAAACGGAGCTTATTTAAGAAAGAAAGTTTGTCGAAAACCTAGGTTTCCTTCGGTCCGAGTTGATATCAAACCTATCCTATCGTAATCTCACCCAGATTTCTCATTAAATTTTCCATTCGATTTCTCTCTCTCTTTCTTACTCGAGAGTTTCTCTCTTTCCGGAAATTTTCATCGTTCCGTTTCTTCGGCGGCCTTTCGTATCGCGTTCCAACGGGGTTTTATTTATACTCGGTGACCGGTGCTGAATTATTTGCATCTTTTGTTTTTCAACGCAAATGCCGGGGGGGATGCTCGCGCGACCGCTGAAACGAAAGCTCTGTTTCATTTTCTATTTCGATGACCACGATACTCCGCTCAAAGGGTGAACTGTGTGACTGCAATGAGAGCGACAGCGAGAGAAAGAGAGAGAGAGAGAGAGAGAGAAAGAGAGAGAGAGAGAGAGAGAAGAGAAAACGAAAGAAAAGAAGAGACGAGGGTAGAAAATGGGAGTAGACTCGGTTTATCGAGTCTACGCGCTGGTAAGCAACGGGCCGCGGCGCTTTATTAAAATTCCTTCGACACCGAAGTCATATCGACTTCGTGGAATTTGAATTGACATCGTGGGCATGTCGATATTTCTCGGGGCTCGTGTACCCACTCACTCAGATTTCGCAAACAGACCGCGCGCGCGGAATAACACATACGGGAAAGAAAATACGCCATCAACGGGAATTTCCAACAAAATTTGCCATGCAGGTACCCCCCTAGCTGGATATGCTCGTCACGACCATCAAAACTACTCTCTCTCTTTCTCTCTCTCTCTCTCTTGCGCCACGTTTCCCGTTTATGAAACGCAGTCAGCGGGAAACGACTGTCTACATATCGCCCCTTTGTTCTCGACGATACACGCTCGAAGGTGGCTCGATATTTTTTTTCTTTCTCTTTTTGTCTTTTTAACTCATGGTGGAACGCGCGTTCTGCTAGCAAAAGGAAAAAAAAGGAGAGAGAAGGAAAAAAAGATCGTTTTCGAAATGGAAACTGTCTGGTCGTTACACCAACAGCATGCCCCCTAATAGGAATCTAGTCCTCAGCTGAAGACAGAAATAATTCTGGAAGGAAACTAATTCTGGAACAACTGGAATGGAAATCCTCGTGTAAACCGTAGTTAACGACAGTTAAAAATGATTTGTTTGAGGAGACAATCCTTATCAAAACATAACAGACAAGGATCGTAACGAGTCATATAAAACTTATTCTCAAGTATCTCCTCAACAAAAAAGATTTCCCAATTTGTGATGTGTGCAAAGTTCAACCAATAGTGGAGCATATTATTGTCCAGTGTAGAAAATACACCGTGAATAGAGATGAACTGAACCCTAAATGACAATACAAAGAATAAAAAATTGGTCCCAGAACTAATACACCTTTTCTAAATCTTAGATTTAATAATGAAAATAAGAAAAAGAATCCTAAAACTAACATAAAATAATTAATCCTAAACTAACACACTTTCTAAAACAATATAACTACATAACAAATTGTAAGATCAAGTTTCTTAGACTAATAACTCATACAAAGTTGATATGACTTTGAATAATGAGAATAAAAAAGAAATCCTGAAACTAATACACCTTCTAAAACAATCTAACCTATAATGATAATAATAATACTTAAACGTATTTAAATAACGAAAATGGCTACAATCTAACCTATAATGAACAATTAAACATATCTGAATAATGAAAATAACTAATCCTAAAACTAACACACTTTCCAAAACTAATCCTAACCTATATCACAAACTGTAGGATTTAGTTTCAAGTTTCAAGTTTCAAGGCTAATAACCTACGCAAGCGGTTGATGCGATTTTAAACAATGAAAGTAAAACAGAGGAGAAAGAACTGTCTGGAAACATTCGGTGAAAAAAAAAAAAAGAAGTTACGACTGAGGGGATCTTTAAATTCTTATTGTTTGAGCAACCCACCTAAAATCCCATCGACGACCTTCCGTTCTTCCCTCGGTGAATAATTCATCCTGAACTGAACTATTCCGGTGGTGACCCGAAGGGATAGGAAACGAAGTGTGGGCGAGGACGAAGGATTACACAGGATTCTTCTTTCGCTCACGGTTCACGAAACGAACAAGAAGGAAACACAGAATGCAAATTGGCCGTGCGTTTTTTTTTTTTTTTTTTTTTTGGAAATTCGCCGTTCAATTTGCTTTAACTCGTCGAGCAACCACGCTCTCGTTTATTTCCGCGAGATAATCGCACCAAAACACTTGTCATTTTGCTACAGGCTGGCCAACTGAAGGAATCAAAAGCTGAAGGGTTTGAAAAAGTCAGAACTTGTTCATTTTCAAAATGGTGGTCGTTTAAGGGATGTTCTTTTTCACACATAATACTGAACAAAATTATCCATTAATTATATTTCCAAGTAAAGAAATAAAAAATTTAAAGACGTATGTTTGTACAATTTTTGTTTTGTATGCCGTGTGGAAGATGGCGGATGGAAAATAGGCTGATTAACCTATCGCAGCGACGCGACGAGGGGAGTGGTCACAAGTTGAACCAATCAATCGATCGATCGATCGATCGAACGAACGAACGAGCAATATCTATGAGGCAGGTTGGCCAACTTCTATTAAATTTCATTTCCTCGTTATCTTTCAGGCCGTTCGTTCGTACCGATCGACTTTTTAATCGTTAATCGAAAGTTTGAGAATCTTATCGGCGAAAAGTGGACGAGAGACGAACAGCAATTCGAATGACGCTATTAAAATTGAAAATATCAGAATCGTTTTTACGTCCCAACCTTTTTATTTCATTTAATTTATAATTCAACTCATTAATTTTATTCAACTTGTCAATATTTTCTAATTTATTCACAGATTCACGCGTGGCATACTGTTTTCAAATTTCGTGCAAGGGAATCTTCAGACATGTTATAGTTCATCGTTCAGCTTTTGTTCGAGTTTCGGTTTATGTAAACGTGATTAACGAGG